AAGTATCTTGGTTTCATTGCACGCAGTTTGGGACCATCAGAGCAACGATGGGGAAGCTCCAAACGTGAATTAGCTGCTGTTGTGTACGCATTCAAAAAGTTCCATCAATGGTTGTATGGACGCCCATTTCATTTGTTTGTAGACAATCGCGGTATTTTGTTCTTACATACAAAACCTAAACTGGATAGAATGGTTGAGAACTACTATGATACTATCTTTGAAATGGATTTCGATATTACGTTTTGCAGTGGTATTAACAATATATTGGCGGATACGTTGTCGCGTCTTTTCTGGCCATACAATACGCTGGTGGAGAGTGGTAATACACGTTCCATCAAGGATCTCGACAGGGAGATATTGATTAAACAGGATATTGTTAAGCAAAAGGGTAATAAGAAGAGAAAGAATACTCATGATGATGAGGTAGTAGCAGCTACTAAGAACAAGAAGCAAAGAGTACTGAATGAAGAGGAAAAGGGGAAAAAAGATATCAAGGGAGCACAAGATAAGAACACAGTTTTATCATGTGAGTCTTCCAGCATCTCCAATTCCAGTAAAGTAATCATTCCAAATAAGACTTCTGATCTATTTAATAATTCTAAGTTGACAGCGTATGCGAATTCATTGAAAAGAAAGAATGAAGATTTTTACTTTTGCGTCAGTCATTTAGATGTTTATCAAACGCCTACAACTGATGAAGAGAAACAGAGCATATTAGAAAAATCTCATCTGCTAGGCCATTTCGGTATACATGCTATGGAGCAAGTAATACACCAAGATTTGAACATGCATTGGAAAGGGTTAAGAGAGGATATAACCCAGTACATCCGTAATTGCCACAAATGCAGACAGTTCAATCTAGCAAAGCATGTATATCATCCTCCAAAGCAAGAAGCGCCTGAAGGCATTATGGATCATGTTGTGTTTGATCTAGGTGGTTTCGATTGTACAACGCCTAGAGGCAACAATTTTATCCTTGTGGTATTGGATCTATTTTCACGTTTTATTGTACTGCGTGCTATTCCTGACAAGTCTGCTACGACTGTTGCAAAGGAATTAGTGTCCATATTTTCCCTGTTAGGCTACCCTAGGGTGGTAGGACATGATCGTGGAGCTGAATTTCACAATGTCCTGTTGGAAAAGATCCTGAAGCATGCAGGAGTGGAGAATAGAGCTAGTTTGGCCTTTACACCACAAGGCAACAGTTGCTGTGAAGCGGCAGTTAAGAATTGTAAGACAATCATCATGAAGATGTTGGAAGGTCGAAGTGAAGATTGGGATCTGTACCTGAATGGAACAGCCTTAAGCTTAAATGTTCACAGATCGAGATTACACGGAATGATGCCATTCGTAGTAATGTTCCACAGACTACCCAATGAGTTCAAGGATTATCGAGGAGATAAGCCTGTTCTTCATGAGAAAGAAATTGATGTGAAAGCATTCAAAGAGAAGCTAGATCTTATCGATAGAATCATTGTACCAGCAATCAGAGATCAGATAATGAAGACGCAAGATAAGGATAGTAAATACTTTAGAAAGAGACACAGAATCTTGGAAAATCCTTATCCTGTTGGATCTACTGTGATGATAAAGAATATTGAGAACAAGAACAGAAAGACGGATCCAAATTATGAAGGTCCATTTTACGTTCATGGTCATACTAGAAATGGAAGCTATATTCTTACTGATAGAACAAACTCGTTCTTAGCTAGAGATGTACCTACGCAGCAAATCAAGTTGATTAGCACAAGTGATACTAGAGACAATCCTTCAAATGCGTATGTCGTCGAAGCTATTATCAATCACAAAGGTAGCGCACCCAATTACAAGTATTTGGTAAAATGGAAAGGTTATAGTGAAGATTGGAATTCATGGGAACCTCCATCTATGTTTGATTCTCCTGATGTGGTCAAGCAGTATTGGGCGCGAGTAAATGCTAATAATAGCAAGACATCTAAGGGCAAGGCACCGAAAGCTCTGAGTACCCGAGAGATTGCTACGCGAGAGACTAAATCAAGAAATAAGCGCGAAAGGTTATTAGCTAAAGATGATGTATAATTGTTTGGTGAAAGGCTATACCTTTTCCTGTTCACAGTTCCTTTTGTCCCATCGGGTTTTGGATGTGTATAGGTTTTTAACGGTTGCCCTAATGATTAATTATCTATACCAATAATCTATACATAAGTTATATATGCAATTCATGTTTACTATACATAAGATTAATCAAGCAGTAACATGCACCAGATTGTCATATATTAATGATGGTTTTCTTTTTTTTTTTTTCTTTTTTTGTTATGTCGGCCTATTATATACTATATGAACTACTACAACTACAATCTACTACAACAATGGTTATGTCCAAGTTTCGCATGTGTCTTATGCTGGTGTGGGGTGGTGTTATATCAAATGTCATAGCAAGGTCTCACACTAAAGGTTTTAGGCTATTCTTAGGTCCTTTGGGTAAATCATGCTAATCATGATTTACAAATCAATTGTTGGGTAGATAGTAAACCTATTTGTATTATAGTTCATCATCATGCTGTAAACCCTAGCATAATGAAAAGCATATAAATGCATCCTTGGGATGCATTCTCAATAAAAGTGTAATTCTTTGGCAGATTCAATTTTACATTGTATTTTGACATAACATTCTGTGCAAATCTAGCCATTTTGAAGCACGAATAACTGATGTTACAAAGCGTTTTGGGCGCTTGGAATATGGCTAAACGACTCCTCTTGTCCATGCGTTACTTACTGATGCTTTATCTCAATTTTTTTTTGGGTCATTGCAAATTCATAGAAATTCTCATTTTTTTCATGAGTGTGGAATACATCCACTATGATCTGCATTCCGACAGTTCATCCAGTTACCAGATTTAGATATAAACTGTATGTACACTGGATTAGATGTACGATATCGATTTATACTATGATCATGAGAAGATATGGACTTCAGATACGCTAGTACTATAAGATTCATACTATATAAGATATAGGCTATAGATGGCACCACGGACATGGATGGCACTATAGACTTATACTTGTATTCCGACATTGACTACGGATGTTTACCATATCTGAATAGGCACCAAGATTAATGCAATATGAGCTTGTTGCTTCAGATGTGCACTTTATGATCCACGCTATAAGACACATGCTTATATCCGTGATACTAGCTACAGATACTTTATGTACTACAGACTTGTACTATATATGAGTTATACTGTAGACATGCCATCATATATCCAGATATATGTTAAAGATGTATGTTTAGGATATAGATCATCTCTGAGAGGAAAATGTATTATACAACGTATAATACAGAAGATTTGAGCATGAGCAGAGATGCATGGTTTATTGAAATATCTTTATTCAGACATTGCAAAGGGATCTGAGTCGTACCATCAAATGACTAATCTATATCCTGGTTCCTGAAGCGTGGCAGCTTATGACCATTTGTCCCTGAAAGTGGGTTTCAATTCTGGTAAATGTCCTTCCTTCAAATCTACTAGGAAGAACATTCTATCCTGGATCATCTCTGTTGTCTGTTCCTGACTGGTGGATTACTTTTCACACCCCATGTTGATTCTAGAGACTATATATTAGAACGATTATATGCCCACATTGAGGGGTTACTACACATATGGATGAATTTTTAGTGGCTATATTGGTTTCTGTCAAATAATAGTGAAGCGAGTAAAGCGTAACGTAACCTGTTATGTCAAAATACAGTGTAAAATTGAATCTGCCAAAGAATTACACTTTTATTGCGAATGCATCCAGAGGATGTACCTATATACTTTTCATTATGCTAAGGTTTACCGCATAATGATAAACTATAATGCAAATAGGTCTACTATCTACCCAGCAAATGATCTGTAAATCATGATTAGCATGATTCACCCGAAGGACCTAAGAATAGCCGGAGGCCATTGGTGTAAGACGAATCAGAAAGAGGGAACATCAGTGCTTTTGCAATTGCAACTGTAGAAGCAGCAGACGCTGATGATTTGAATATTTTCAGTGCCGGTATTCCAAGCGTATAACAACAGCAATTGCAATCAACCTTATAGTCATACAACATTGAGATCCACAACAACCCAAGTCGGTCGTAACGCACACACTAACATTGCATCTAGATTGACTTTGGCTGGTAGTCCAAGAAACTTAAATACACTTAATCATGGTCGTCTTTGCTCTATATTGAATTCAGTAAGAGCTGGTTCAAACAGTAATCTCAACAATATTGCAGAAATAACAGAAGAATTATTTTAACCAAGAAGCATAGAATTGAGCAATACGCGAAATCAATCACATTGGCAACATTCGCTCTTTAGATCGCAGAACACCTCCTCATCATCCATTACAGCAGCACCAACAACAACCACTAACCCAATTCTAGCAAGTGTTGAGCCTTTAGCCCATAGTCCAGTTGAAATGATGGCTATTGATACTGTTATGACCATGTACAGTAATCAGCACCTAGCAGTAACTGAAATGGTTACATTTGCTCCTGGTGTTTATCCAGAACCAGCCATGGTTTTACCAAATGGTCCTTTTTGTGTCTCCAACTCTGGTATCTCCCCCCCCCCAAAAAATGTGTTTCTTGAACCATCTTTTATCTTTGGTATTAATTCTTACCTCCTGGTGTGCTCAGCAAAACGTATTGAACAAACGGTATTAGTGGATTTCGATGAACCAGACTATGTATCAAGAACAATCAGATGTACAATCTCTTCCTTTGGGCAGTCAAAACTGGAGCATTTACGCAAGACCCAATTTTCATCACACCATCAGGCACAACACTAGTGTTGTATGTGAGGCAACCCGCAGAGGCTACACATCCAAATTTGAGCTCACTGAGTGCCCTAATATGGTGTTTGCAAGGGCCGGTGATACCAATGTAAGTATATATAATTTACTTGAGATGTACAGTGTCATTTATACTGACACGCGTCCTTTATTTGCTAGGTCAATGTTTTTTTCCCCTACTCTCAAGGATGGATATGAGACCAACCGTATCAGCCGAACAACGCGCATTTGTGGATAAGGCACTACTACCATCCATTCGTCAAGTTCAAGATACGAGCAGGTTCTCAGTGTGTCTGGACTTTGCAAATGCTGCCAGAAATGGTGTAGGCCGTGCCCTCAATAAAATGGTTACTGAAGATTTGCAATCTTTGATAAATGCAATGCGATGTGCCATTAGGGTCAACAACTTGATTGGTTTCGACGACTTCTTTTTGGTGTTGTACTCTCACAGGATCAAGATTCATATCCCCATGCCCATTCCTGCTGGTCATAATGGTAGCTTGGTGGAATATGGCCTTCGTCATCAGCATATCGATTTCGCTTTGGTAGATCACTTTAATCTTTACGTTGATTTGGCGTTGTCTTTCAAGCTCGTACAGCATCATCCAGAAGGTGTAACTGGTTTGTGGGTCAATTATGAAAACTTGGTTGTTTCTTTGACAGAGACCCAAGTATTGGTCGTTTTCTAAGCACACTACGAGAAGATTCTTTTTGTAACTTCTCCAATCTTGGTGGTTTCAAATTTTCCGCGGCTCAAGGCCCTATTCGCTCTGTTCAAGCATACGGTACTTGGAAAGCGGCTTTCTTTCGTCGAGTTGCTGGCTCAAATCGACAAGGAAAGGATTTCTAACCCCAAGACGTTTTTGACGGAAGCAGCAAATTCCAGCAGCTATATGTAAGTATACTATACCATGTTTCAGGCATACATTTCTAACAAATATAAACTAGGAACAATTGGTAGTCAACAATCAAATGTTGCTTGATCAAGACCCAAGTTTTACTGCTCGACTTGAATTTCGAATCGTTTCCACTTTTGCTGGTCAGTTTGTTGAAAAGCTACAAGACATTGACGGTACATTGTAAGTACAAAATGATAAATTATGAAATTGAGAAAGAATGACAACTACTAACATGGTTTTTTTTTCTTTTATTTTATTTTAGACGGCCCGTATACGAAAGTATAGAATGGCATAGTACAAATTCTTTGTTTAGTTTGACACTAACAAGATTGCGTGCTCTGTATTCCATGCGTGGTCGTAGTCTGGCATCGTTCAATCTTGTTCAACGATCAGTGGAGTTTGCTTCGGCATCCCTCTTATTGGCATTTCTCATGTCCACGATCTACCACCGAGAAATGGTCAATGAGACAAAGTGGAGAGAGGTTCAAAATGTTTTGAATCAACGCAGGACGCCTGATTCTAATCTTTTGTTTCTTTGTAATTTGGTTGACCCGGAGACACTGTCTTTCACACACAACTTTGACCGATCCACCTTGCAGAGGCATTTTGATCGCCAACTCACCGATTCGTTGCTCACCTCCACAAGCATAGTCATAATCAACGCTATGACATTTGAAATAATAACAATAAAAAAAAAACCAGTGTTTGGGCATCATTATCTGTAAAATTGCCAATTCCATCAGGCTTCTTTTTTTATTAGTTGAATCTTGCTCCTCTATGTTTGCTCTACAACATGGGACGTAGTCTTGGCATACTACAATGTTTCCTTTCATAAATTGGGTTTTCTTTGATAACAATACAGAAACGGTTATACAGGGCTCAAGTCTACATAGAATATATCCAGGATATGCATTGAGTAATGCTGGCGCGCAAAAGAAAACGTATATGCGCCACTGTAGCAAAACTGAGCTTTTGAGCGAGCGATTTTGAGCAATCTCTTTGAAGCCAGCCCTTTCAGCAGTGTAGCTCCATGAAAACCTATGCTACAGCTCTGAGTAAAGCCTCAAACAATAGCTCCTTCTTGGGTCTACGAAATAAACAGTATCATAGGTAAAATGGTGCAGATTCAGTACACAATCCTCTTAGAGAACCTCAAACTATCTGAAAAGCGAGCGTGTGTGTTTACAAGTTGAACCATACTTGTTAAGAATGGTGTCGTTTGATGTGCATTTTGATTCTGTAGAAACCTACTATGGGTTAGAAGCAACAGTTACTTTTGAAAAAATTGCTTGATGTTCATTATTTAAGCCCTCCTCCTGATAATTTCCTTGCAGTAGTTGGCTTTATATACAATTACGAAATTGTCAAAGCAAAGCCTGGGGCGTTTGTCCCAATGGACAAGGCATCTTTGGCATGAGATGTTTTGGTGTTCAGAGATATAGTAACAGAAGGCTATGGAAGAGAGTATATGCGAGAGAAGAGATAGTTTATACTTTTTTAGAAAGTGATGTCAGGTACATACAGGCTTTGTGTGTTGTTTTTGGAGGAGTGGAAATGTTAAATCAATTTGTAATAATATACTATGAAATATCATCTTTCTTCTTATATTTATTGTTAGTCCATGCCAACGCAACAACACTTGGGCGGTTACTAGAATATGTTCACAATGTTGATACGTGGTTTTTGTATGTATTGACTTGTATCGTGGTTAAACAATATGCAGCAGTGGGTCCTAATGACGAAGATTTTATCTTTGATCGTGCCTCGTTTGGTTATCCTCCTTTCAGGGGTTACATCGTTTCTTGAGATTTTCAAGCTCCTAGGCTGCATCTCTGTAGCTCCATCATATATCGTGCAATGTCTTTAGTGGTATCGCTTCGGTTGCCTTTGATTACTAGACTCATCATCAACATAGTATGGCCACTGGAACCCAGGATGAGTTTTTGATCTGGATCCAATGCCAAGCTTTAGAATAATTCCCTTGGATACAAACGATAAAAATTGAATATTTTAAAAGACAAAATTAGGTTTCATGAGCTTCTCGAAGGTTGAATGAAACACAATACAATAGCATTCTGAATTTTAAACGATAGCATTGGGCTACATATACAACATGGTCAATGTGATTTGCACCTGCAGCAATACTTGCGAATATGAATGTAACAAGATTGTGGTCAAACTCTCTTGCAACTGTATAGTTTTGCAATCAAATCATGAATATTGTACGGATTCACCAAATCAAGGTAATCTGATGATCTGATATCTTCGGGAGATGAACCTGAATTTGAGCAAGGGCATCTAGATTTTACCCTAATTCAAGAATGATCGTTTATTGGCTAAATTGAACAGTTTATAGTTTTTCAGAATCTGATAATCTTTTTACTCTTCTTTCTCTTTTCTCCATCTGTATTTATACTTATCTTACATGGTGACGAAACATCGCACATTTGGCATATTCCCCTACATAAGAACATGGACCAATTTCTGGCAATTGGGAATGGCTTATGCCTTCTTTTGGTGGTCTCTGTTTATTGTTTACTGCATATGCTATCAGTTGAATAGGATCCGTGTATACAACATTCGAAAGAAACGACTATCCGACAAGCAAGATAGAGTTACTGATTTGCCAGGGGCCAAGCTATGGCGTCGACTGGATCGTGTTGTCCGTATACCCTATGTCACCGAGATGGTTTCGATCAAGATTATATTGGCAACTACTATTTTTGGTTTGATCAATTTGTACTCCATTCTTTGGCTCATACCCTATGAACCAGATCCGTATCACCCCGCAGTCATTGACCGACGAGCCGCATTTCTCAGTATGGTAGATTGGGGATTTGTGTTCTTTTTTGCTCAGAGAAACTCAATCTTACCAAAGCTTTGTGGTTGGACATTTGAAGAATTGATCCCGTATCATCGCATTATTGCTCGCATTGGATTCTTAAATTTGGTACCTCATCTCATCTACAGATGGTAAGTCTCTATTACGCAGCGTCAAGTGTGGGTCCATAGTCTCTAATCCATCTACATCAGCATCGAGGGATACATGGAGCAACATCGCCTGTTTGATGCCTTTTTCAAGGATTGGGAATATATTACAGGCACCATCGCAACAGTCGCTTTTCTTCTCATGTTTCTTACATCGCTAGAGTACATTCGAAGAAATCACTTTGAGGTGTTTTACTACTCACACATCCTACTCGTCATTATCTCCATCATCTTTACATGCTGGCATTACAATACGTGCTTTGCATTCTTTCTTCCTCCAGCATTATTATGGGTTGCAGATCGGGTGGTGAGAACCTACAAATCTTGGATCACCAAAGCTACCTATGTTCAGGTGGACCAAGTTGCACCTCAAACAGCCAAGCAAGAGGGTATCGTCCGCATTATTTTTGCAAACAAGATGTTGAAAAACTTCAGGCCTGGTCAATACGTCTTTACTGCTATGGTTCTGAATGGACGCAAACTATGGGAATATGGCAACTGGCATCCGTTTACAATCTCTGAGATATTTCGCAGCAGAAATACAAGCGTCAACCAGGAGATTGAAGAGCGCATTGTTGGAAGCGGCATCACAGATGAAACTACCAAGCTATTACAGAAAGATCAGCAATCATACAGCAGTGTTTCCAGTATTGACTCCTTGCCAAACACCCTTCATCGTCGCCGCAAGTTCACAGGTGTTCGAGATGACACTACCATGGCTTCATTTCACATCAAAGCTCTAGGCACAAAAACGCGAGATTTGCTCAACTCATCATCTGTCAACAGCAGCAACTTGCAGATATATATTGATGGACTGTACGGGCCTCAACTGCCTTTCCAAGATTACCCTATCCTTGCATTATTTGCCACTGGTATCGGTGCTACACCCGCCATGTCTATTATCCAAGACGCTCTTGAGAAGCGATCAAATGGTGTCCGCACTGTGACCACAGATCACATATACCTCACCTGGGCTATTCGTGTTACAGGTGCGTTTTGGAAGTGCATGAAATATACAGAATATTGAGCCATTGTATGACAAATAGACGAGATTGACCCCTTTATGAACATGTTTCGACATTGGACTGACCTTCTACATACTACCGTTCTGCCCATCCAACTGACAGTTTCTGTGTACGTTACTAGAATGAAACAAGGGCATCATGCGCTGAGTCAACTGGCACCCTTCTCATTGTTCTTTGGTGAACGTCCTGATGTGTCCACAGAGATGAACAAGATCAAATCAGCACATGCTCCGCATCACAGAGTCTGGGCTCATGTGTGTGGATCCACACCATTTACTCGTACTGTCATTAATGAGGCTATCCAACATGACTTTGATATACATCACGAGACATTTGAATTCTAGAGAATCCCATTTTATACTCTTGCACTATATCCTCTTTATTTATTATTATAGAACTTTTTATGTGTATATACTACGCAGCCTCTACTTACATAACGCACAATTTTTACATTCCCTTGCTCTTCATTGTAATATATATATATATATATAAAACAGCTTTTACTATCAATAAACATGTATTTATGTAGAGGCTGCCTTAATCACATCAGATTTACAAGGTTTACACAAAACGTAGTAGTGAAAAAAAGCATAGATGGCCTTCATCATGCCATCTATGTCACTCTTTAGCGCCAAATATGTTGCTATCACTAGTGCATTGATGGGTTCAGTGAGATAAGATGACAGCGTACGCCCCAAGATCCACGCTAGCTCTGGCTCAATAGACGACTTCCATGTAGTGTAGTAGCAACTGATCCAACACACTATATCTGGCATTGTACTCTTGTCAATTATGATACTTTAAAAAAGTTCGATCACGCTCATTCCTAATCATGTTTAATTTTGGCAATCTTCATCGGCAATGCACCATACAATGATATGAACAAGTCGCTTGCTTCTACATCAAGTAAAAGTGCTACATCCTCCAACAACATCAGGATACGCAAACGCCATTGGGCCGTTCATTGTGTGTTATTTGAGATTTTACCAAATTTGTTTGTTGAAAAAAGAAATGTGCCCCTTTTGTTTGGTCCATACACCACGAAGCATTTGTTACACATTGAGAGGTAAAATGCACACACACACACACACACACACACACACACACACACACACACACACACACACACACACACACACACACACACACACACACACACACACACACACACACACACACACACACACACACACACACACACACACACACACACACACACACACACACACACACACACACACACACACACACACACACACTTACATAAACGATAAAGCGACTCACAGAACCCAGATAGAGATAACTAACTATCACTGCATTCGGACCGATAAGGTTGGTCATTGATAGCTAATTACAGTGCTTAGCAAAATCAGGTTATTCGTTGAATTAGGAGAAGAGAATCATGGCTCAAATAGAAACAAACTTCTATTTATAGCTGTTCCATGAGGGATTCATTTATACATTTGTTCCACAAGCCCTTGTGTATAGTCCTCCTCTTTCTCTAATGAACCATAGACATGATGCATTTATATGGTAAGGTACCAGGATATAGAAGTGCGTGTTTATTATATACAAGTAGTTGTCATTCAGTTTAAATATTGATTGTTGTCAAAAAGCAAGAAAAATAGGGGCTGAGGGAGATTCAGGAAAGCAAGCAAAGATGGCGATTACAGTATAGCAGTAAGAGGGTATCAGTGTGTTGTCGATTGGTTTACAGGTGGAAAGAGACAAGTCGATTCATGGGATCCGTAGTAGCAGTTTTTGGTTTCTTTTCATCAGGAGACGTCTTGAACAAGTGCTGAAAGACTCGTGTGGATGATGTGATGAATAGCGAAGGCTGCTGTTGCAGATGTTGCTGATCTATCTGACTAGATGATTGCTGCTTTGAAAAGAGTACCTGGCGATGGTTTTCACGGAGATAAATAGGGTCGAGATCAGATTGGAAAAAAGCCATTTTGTAGAGTATCAAGAAGGGAGTGTTTGGCATCTATGCAAATGAGGTTCGTTGTCATATTTATACTGATGCTGGTAAATTAAAAACAGGACTATCAAAGAGAGCCAATCCAGTGGATGGATTCGAGTGAGGTGGTACATGGATGGGGGATCGTTTTTACAAGCTTATCATTTACATGGTATATTACACATGGCCCACACTGCCACATACCGTAAAAAAGGGTCACTGCCCTCTATCTCGTTTGGAACAGCACTGAACGATGAGACACAAGAGCTGCCTGTTCAAGTATACTGAGTAGCCTGCGTGTATGTTGATGGCAATGGACTTCTCCTACAAGATCTAGTCTGTTGGGGGGGGGGGACGATACCTTCAAGTATACGAACGCTCAACCAATCCAACGTATCACTATGATTGCAGTCAGGGGCTTTGGTATAGGGTGTAGTGAACAAGCTGCATAATGAAAATGTTCGTACCAGGCAGAGCCATACAGAGAATAAACAGTATCCGACGCCTAGTGACACGAATTTCTTTCTCTCTCTCTCTCTCTCTATCGCTCTTTTTACCCCATTCTTACACATCAATCACAGCAACCACATCATGGATAAACTGCCCGTTGAAACGCTTGTTCTCATTGTATCTTATCTGGACGAACATGACATGTTTATCGCCAGTTGCACCTGCAAGAAATGGAACCAAGTTATACGCAATTCTCATCTGTACAAGAACATTGATTTGGATTATTCGAGTAAGCACTACTTTGACGCCATGGCCTTTTTCCAGAAATACAAGCAGTATGGCCAGAAAGTCAGGCAGCTCTTTGCAACCAGTGGAAAAACCATTCCGTACAAGGAGATACGTCAATGGCCTTGCTTGTTTCCAAACATCACCACGTTCAAGCTTGACTTTGGATCGCATAATCAACAATACAGCATGTCGTCGCTTGATTTCATGTTTCCAATAGACATATCCAGTTCAGATGAGGACGATGCGGATGGTGGTGATGATGGCAATCAAGAGCACTTACTAGAGCCTGGTGACAGCAGACCAGTGGAAGCCAATTTTACCCTTTGGCAGAGCTTGGAGTCGATCTATGAATGCAACAGGTTCTTTTACACGCCTACTATACTGGATTCCGGCATATACAACAACTTGGATAGACTCACCATCGACTGTGAGTACCTGCGAGTTACAGCATTTCCAGAGCTAGTCAGCCGCTTGAAGCAAGCACCCTATTTGACCACATTTGCAGCACACAAGGCAGTAGTGAGGATCAGCTTCCTCGAGCAACTGCATCAAAATGCCCTTCATTTAGAAAACTTGCATCTATTCTCACCCATTATTCTATGGGATTCGAGCGACGACGAGAACGATGCCATTGTATCTCCAGCATTACCCATGACGACCGTGATACTATACGAAGTTGATACCACACGACGCGGCCGAAATGGTATGATAAAATACATCACTTCAAAATACCCGAACCTAGAATCACTAAAGATGAAACGCTGGGAGGACAACTTTGGAGAGCCGTTACTAGAAACAACGCCTAACATACAGCCTGAATTTGAGGACGCCATCATTCAATTAGCCACCCAGTGCAGAAAACTAAAGGTGTACAATGTCGATATTCATCAATACACGCCTGCTATCCTGTCTGCCTTTGATGAAGTCGGCTCACTGAAACTCAAATCGTTTTCCTCCATGGCATCCAACATTACACATTTGCGAAGCATTGCCAATTCAAAGCAAAAGCACTACATTGAACGCCTGGACGTGCTGATGCCACACTCGTCTGAGCCAGATCTCATGTCTATTATCAACCGATTCACCAACCTGCAGAGCTTGATCTTTATACCATCACCTTCCCTGGGCCACATTGAGGACCAAGATTTTGCGCTGGATGTTACATTGGATGCGTTTCTGGATCACCATCAGAAACTAGTCAACCTTAAACTATGCACCTGTAAAGTGAGGTTCAGCGACAATTTTGATGCAGCACAACACACATCCGTCATCGAGAGCTTGGAAATTGTCAGCAGCGTCATTGACAATCCATCGCCACGACATCCCAATGTAGATCTCGCTGACTACTTGAGCACATCCTGTCCTGATCTCAAGATCTTGACCTTGTCCTGCAACTTTCGTCAGCCCTTAATTGGCCCGCAAGATTACCACATCAATTTCACCAACCAAGACATTCAATACTTGTGCTTGTATTTGAAAGGATACATGTCCATTTGTATTCAAGATGTGCAAGGCAAAACGAAATGGTATAGTCTCTTGAAGAGAGGAAGCAGGTTTGTCTGTTGCCAAGAAGATGAACAGCCCAAAATCAGAAGAGTGACTAGAAGTAAGCCAGAGTCTGGGATCATCTATATCAAGTGCAAAGACATCGATAGCTTCACTCTGCATCCAGGTCGAGATCCCAACTATGTCAGTTATTTTGGCTGATTATAATATTTTGTATATACTATCTCTGTTGTATTAAACTATTCATTTATGAAATTGTAAGTCAATCTGTCTAGCTCAAGGTGCTCCAACTGGAGATTGCTGATCTGTTTTCTAAACTATACGAGTGTGTCTACGTTTCGGATGACTATCTGCCTTTGCTTCGCTTCGGTGAAAATGACCTGGGCAGCGGCGGCTCGCACTACTGATGGCTCCTGCTCATCATTTCAAAATACCATTTACTTTTATTTTAACCCTCTGCTTACACATGAGAACCCTTCATATTATCCGTGGATCTGGCTCTTATGAGATGTTGTACGTCTAAACACGTGTAAATACTTCATATACAGGCAAGCAGCGTACTGGTATTCCCCCTTTTTATTCCTTACTGTCCCTGATACAGCAAAATCTGAGCACATTTGAGCTGCGTTTTCTCGCGTTAAAAGCCGTTTTAGACCACTGGAATAGTACCAAACAATTGCTCTCAATTAGCACTAACTTGCTGACACCTTTGCTCAACTTTTTGGGGATCAAAAAACATGGCCAAAAATCGACTAAAAGGCATGAGGTATTCCTCATGGTTTTCATTAAAAATCAAACGATCGCGTTTTCGACCTCAAAAACGAAGACTTTTACTATGGTATATCTTGAATCAATTTTTTTTTTGTATTTAAAAGTGTCTTTTATTGAGAATAAGGAAAACGACAGTACGGGACCATGAGGTTGCTTACATGTCGTCTAAGAAAGAAGAAATCAATTTGGAGTGATCGGCGAGAAAAGAGGAGAAAACTATCTGAGTACGCCATGATTTACCATCAAGAGAACAGCTCCAATGATGCTGCCATAGAGAATCTTGAATCAAAATGTTTCTATTAATCTAACGTAATCCCTGAAATCATCTTTGTGGGACTTTGATATGTAACTTTTCGACTTTTTGGCCAGAAACCTCTTTTCGTATGTTCATAAATTGCTCAATAAGTTTATTCAAAATATTTGTATTACTTGGTACCATTAGATGCGTCTTGAAAAGCACTCCAAGAAAGCTTAAAGAAGCAGGGGATAATCATCAGATTTTATATAGTCGAATCTGCGAAAATAGTTTAATCGAGTCGAAAATCATTAAGGTTTGGCCAATCTAAAACAGACTGTGTGTCTGGGTTTTAATTAATTTTGGCTAGTGGGGCAAGTTGGCAAACTCAATGCCAAAATAGTAGGTGGCAAAGTACATAGTACTACCTTTAGCCATGCTATTTCTTTTAAAGTCTTGCATCTAATAACGCCAGTCCACCGAAATACTTGCGAGATCAGCCTCGTTCCTTTTTGAGGCTTTAAAGTGTGTAGGGACAATAAATTTATGATGAACCTGCGCGCGCCCGATGACACGCTTAGATTAAAGGAACGTCTATCGTAACAATGATGTTTATTAAATGTTTTTTATTTTAATTACAATAATATGAGACTATAATGAGATTTATGGTTCCAAAAGAATATGTGTCGTTTTGGGTTTGTGTGGAATAAGGGTGGATTACATTTTGAATGGGTTGGTGTAAAATTGCGTTTAAAAAAAATCAAAAAGAGAGTTTAGGAAAATGGATGTTGCGCGAAAATATGAAGTGTATGTGTGATAAAAAGAGAGGGAGAGGGGAGAATTTACAATTCATCCTTGACAGGCTTCTTGGAATCTTCTTCCTCCACCTTCTTTGCAGCTTCTTCTTGGATAGCTTCGAGGATCTCTTCTTCCTTGGCCTTCTCAAGAGCTTCAGCAGCAGCAGGAGGGACCTCGTCAAACTTGACAGGAGGTTCAAATTGTTCAAGATCAATCTTCTCAGCACCCTCATCAGGAGGAGCAACACCTTCAGCCTCAGCCTTGGCCTTGGCTTCAGCTTGGATCTTTTCATTGTAGGCGGCTTGAGCACCTTCCTCGGAAGAATGGAGAGCCTTGGTTTCATCACGGACCTTCTTGGCTTCTTCAACATCATCAGTGATCAAGATGTTATCAAAGATGGTGCCAGACTTGACTTGCCAGACATCAATACCAACATTAGCGAAATCGTAAGCATAGATCTCGTTATCGACCTTGTACTCAGGGTTGTCAATTTCAGGATGGACCCATTCGCCCTTGTAGAGAGGGTTGGGGATCTTCTTGGGAGTCCATTCACCTTGGTATTCAGGGTTGGCAATAGAAGGAGCTTCCCAATCACCGTCCATATCATCATCCCAATCTTCAGGCTTCTTGGCTTCAGGATCAGGAATGAATTCAGGGATATCATCATAGTTGGCAGGCTTGACATCAGTCTCATCCACAATCATGGCTTCCTCAACCCAGTCTTCAGGCTTGGAGGCATTGGGATCCTTGATGGTCTTGGGAGGCAAGAAATCCCAATCTTCCAAAAGGCTACCATCGGCCTTGCTCTTACCGTCAATCAAGATTTCGTAGGTTTGATCAGGCTTCACGACAAGAGTGTAGGTGTGGGTCAAGGTGTCCTTGGGAGCACTGATAGACTTCTTCAAATCATGGTTGGTACCGTTGTAATTGAAGATGGCATGCACCATAGCCTTGGGGCCACAGATATCAGGACCAAACATGATGTTGTATTCACTGTCACCGTTGAAAGTCTTAGGATCCAAATCACCAAAGATCTGACGTGAATAGATTTAGTATGGTCATACTAAACAGAGCGCGTTTACGTCCTCTACTTTACCTTCAAGTAACTACCACCACAGTCAATGTCTTGCTCATTCTTGACATCAAATTGAATCACGAGATCCTTGCCCTTGTTGTTGAAAGGCTTGGGGATTTTTGTAGAGGTAGCATAGAAGCGGTAATCCTCAGTGGTTCTGAGACCAGCATTGTAGGCTTCATCAGCAAACCACTTACCAGGAGAAACCTCAAGCTTACCAAGATCTTCGCGATGTTCAGAAGCGGTCCAACGGTCCTTCCAACCTTCACCATCAGAGAAAGTTTCATGGAGGAAGACTTCAGCAGAGACGACGGCAGCAAGGCCTAAAACAGCAGCGATAGTAGGAATCTTCATTTTGATGAATAATTAAGCTAAAGAAGAAGAGGAATTGAAAGGAACCAACATGCACACACACACACCCTTTATATATTTGAAATGCTGTTTCCCCCTGTGTTTTAATTTTACGTGGCAATTATACATTTTGCTTTACTATTTCCAACCAATGACAAAATCTAGTTTATCTTTGACTTGATGGCAATGTCTCATTGGCCAAAATGCATTCACATCTTACCACCCAAAAAAGACTTTTTGCTATGTGCATTTGAATTTTTAATTTATGTGTTACCATCAGATGCATTCAGATTTGACAATTGGCGGGTTAGTAAGAAACAGCTGGCAATCGAAAGGGCTTGTCATTTGCCGCTTGCCCTGAGTATATATAAAACAATATACTAACATCTCAAATCAAGTTGGCCGCCATCATGACAGCTTGAAACTCAGGAATGTCTATACACATTTGCTCACAAAAAGTGGTCTATCCCAGTAATGAAAAATGTATATATATATATATATATACTTGCATGAGACGCAATGTGTTACATACAATGTGCTGCATTCTATATAATCATGCTCAATGTGTCGTAACAAACAAAGGTACGGTATGTGCATTCAGCAAGCAAGACGTGCCTGCAAATGTAAGTCTTTCGAGGCGCTCGTCAGGGCATTTCATCATTCGACGGTGGTTATGCAAGCATCAGGTAAGCAGCAGACGCCTTATATAACGTGGTAAAAAATACATTTTGGTTGCGCAAAGATGTGTACAGCGTCATTCAATATGGGAAAAGATGGGTAATTTTCAAGACCATTTTTCCAGAGGCTTCCACTGCGGACATCCTGTCATAGAATTTGAAGCTTGGACAACAATGTGAGGGCGGCTTTCCGCTGGAGTGTAACAGTATCCAATTTTGGAAGGTACGAGGTTGGCATTGCATTTGTATTATAGCTCTATACAAGTGCACTAGCATGTACCTCTTATGATGTGGTAATTAACGACTAAAAATGTTGATTTCAATTAATGCACACAACGCTGTATTTGCTCAAATCAAACATCCAATGTAGCGAGTGCAAGACATCGTCACTATATACACTATATAACACTCAAAAAAAGTAGACAAACAAACCCTATCCTTTCAAAATTTAAACAATTGAGTACCGTACAAGGTGAATAAACCACCGGTGAAGTCGGCGTTGGGGAGAGGGTTTGGAGGAGGTGCTAAGACCATCCACCAAGAACATAACGCATCTAATTCAACATTTGGTAACGCTAACCTATAATAAGAGGGTTTCACTATAGCAAGGCGAAGGTGCAAAACCATGGCAACTCAACATCTAACCCAACATTTGGTAATATTACTCTCAATGAAGGGTTTGCCGTAGCGAGACCAAGGTACACAATCGTAGTATTCAAGCAGCAAATTCGGATTTTCATTTCCACTGTTAATAAGCTTATCAGCAACATAGCGCATTAAAATTTGCATGAATCAGCTTTACCAAAATCAATATGCCTCCTATTCAAATTAACACTTGCTCAAGCTACTGAACTGCCTTTCCAGTAAATTGCAGCTATCAAAGATGTGATTTATGCTGTGTAAATAAACTCTATAAAGCAATACAAGACCAAATTGACAGCTTTTAAGCCTTCATACCTTGGCCTACAGATCTTTCTGAGTTACTGGAATAACACCGAACAATTGTACTTGAGTAGTAACAACTTTCTGCCACCCTTACTCAACTTTTTGGGGACCAAAAAAAAATATGGCCAAAAATTGACCAAAAAGCATGAGGTATCCCTCATGGTTTTCATCGAAAATCAAACAATCGCATTTTTTTTTTTTTTTACCTTGAAGATGATGACTTTTACTATGGTATGTATTACATCAAAATGTTGCTATCGATCCAAAGCAACCCTTGAAACGTCGTTTGTGTATCTTTTATATGTAAGTTTTTGACATTTTTGCTAGAAACCTCATTTCATATTTTTTGATATTGCTCGATGCGTTTATTATAAACATCTGCCATAAGCACCATCATTCGATGCGCCTTGAAAAGCACTCCAGAAATGCATTAGAAAGTATAAGATGATCATCGCATCTAATATAGTCCAATTCTGCAAAATAGATGAATCAAGTCGTTTTTGGATCAAAATCTGTCCAATCTGGAATAGACGTTAAGCGAGAATTCAATTGATTTTGAGTGCTTCTGATATCAATGTAATCTACGATCTTGAAGCTAATATAAAGAGGATTGCAATTTGAAAAAAAGTATTATAGTAGCTTATTCTCTCTACTTTTGCCTGATTCTGAAGCACATTTTGTTTCTGACACTCGGATTAATCATTGTTTATTACATATTCAAATAAATGGCCTAATATGAAACGCAAACTTTCTTGCTATTCAAAATTGCAAATGGCACTTGAGGTTTGATGTACTGTACATTGAGATACCACTACTAGGCTATACTATAGCAGCCACTAAGGCAATGCTATAATACCATATACGCTTGGGAACCTAATGCCAAATGTCCATTTTATTAAAGTGTAAGGGCCATCACATCTCCTGTTACTAGGAATTTTTAGCAAATAGATGGCAATACTAATTATGAAATACATGTGAGGTTTCTACTGAGCACTAACGAAGACAGACAACTGGTTTATACATACACACTTTTTTAAAAATCATGCAAATACTGTATTTTGAGGCGGCGTCATGTCACCCAAGTGTTCTACAGGCCCAAAAGCAGCGGATCAAGATTGCCTTTTACTTGGATACACATTGTAAAATATAGCTTCAAATGGGTTTGCTTGCACTACTACCAATATGCTCACTCTAATTGAACGATGACTTTTTGTTTGTTTGTTTTCCGTGCAACTTGCCTACATTCTTTTCAAAGAAGTAAGAGCATATCCTGTTGGTGACAGTAGCACCAGAACTTTGACAGCTCTGCTTGTACATATAAAATAGTGAATACATGTAATTTATATACTGCAATCACTGCAAAACTATACTGATAAAGAACCCGTTATTGTTTACATTTTGCTCGAACTTTTCAAATCCAAAGCGAATCAAATTGTTCACTTTCCGTTATCAACCGAATACAAGATGTAAATGTAAACAAGCTGACTGTGTTTAATCAATAAACGAAATAAACCATATGAGTTTATATCATATCTTGTGTGTATACAGTAGTAATAATGCATATCATATTGTAGGGCAGTTGAAGGCGATTCCAATGGTATTAGTTGCATTGTCTCTGGATGCCAGTAGCGTTCAGAATTGCGTTTGAAGTGTTTTTTGCGTGTCTCCTTAAATTGTTGCTACTGTAATCAAGGTATAAAAGGTAGAAGATTTCTCTCTTTATCTCACGTCCTTTCTTTATCTTTTTCTTCATCTTTTTTTTTTTTTTTTTTTTTTTTCTCTCAAAAACAATAGACGCTACTAGAAGACTGGTGATCATGTAAGTATATTTGTCTTGTCTGCACATAACGGATGGTAACATGCTCTGAATCAGGGTGGTTCACAATACAAGGCTTATGGTATTTCAAGACTGGTTCTATTCTACTTGACGGCTTTCTTTGGATACTTTTGGTTCTCTCTGGTTCTCTTTGGATACTTTTGGTTCTCTCTGGTTCTCTCTGGTTCTCTTTGGATACTTTTGGTTCTCTCTGGTTCTCTCTGGTTCTCTCTGGTTCTCTTTGGATACTTTTGGTTCTCTCTGGCTCTCTCTGGCTCTCTCTGGCTCTCTCTGGCTCTCTCTGGCTCTCTCTGGCTCTCTCTGGCTCTCTCTGGCTCTCTCTGGCTCTCTCTGGCTCTCTCTGGCTCTCTCTGGCTCTCTCTGGCTCTCTCTGGTCCTAGTATATAGATATTTATATTTATTTGGTCATATTCTTTCGCATGGGGGATTTTTAAGGGCACACTCTGAGGTTTTCAAGTCTTTGGTACTTTGTCTTTTGAGAGTTTCGTGTCTTTGGTGTGAGGGTTTCTCTAGTAAGTCTTCTGGAATGAGTCTTCTGTAGTAAGTCTTCTGTAATAAGTTTTCTGTAGTAAGTCTTCTGTAATAAGTCTTCTGTAGTAAGTCTTCTGTAATAAGTCTTCTGTAATAAGTCTTCTGTAATAAGTCTTCTGTGTTGTCATGTGTTTCCCTTCCCCCATGCCTACTTTCACTTTTTGGGTTGAGATTGGTCTCCACCTTCTCGTGGTTCAACCTGTAAGCTTTTTGTAAAAGCAACCAAGAGAGACCATTATTTTTTTACAATAAATAAAATGAAAAACTATACAATACACATTAAATGCGTGTGCCTGATATGAGTACACATTAAACATTGCTTATTTTATATCAATAAAATCTTGTATTTGCCCAGGAAATTATAAATGTCGATATGAGATGCAAAGGGTATAAGTTTACTGCTATGGAAATCAATAATTCGGATTGGATGTATTAGCTGCTTTTGATAAGCTCTTTGGATCCGAAGGAGGCAGCTTATCTTGCCATGCAGATATAAGTACATCAAAGCCTAAGCTCGCATATGTAGGTGTTGGGGACTATGCACGCTGTAGTTTTGCCTCATGTCAAACATGAGTCTTTGCGTCTATGTTGGCTGGGCTTGTTCTGGTACGCTGAATGATGCTACAGCCAAGGATGACCTGGCTAAATGGCTGTATCTTTGTATATTTCGTTGTCATATATTTCATTTCAACAAAATCCCGGTTACCATGGACGGATGGAGACGGCGAGCATATTGATATGTCAGACAATGATTACATGGCTCGCTTGACTCCATTTTACTTTGGATGGAAGTGGCCTTCAACGATCTGATACACGCATTACCCTTTATTACTCGATTGTGCGCAAAACACAGCGTATTTTAGATGCATTTGAGCCGTGATTTCTTGTGTTAAAGGCCGTTTTAGGCCGTCAGAATAGTATCAAACCATTGCTTTCATCTAGCACTAACTTCCTGCCACCCTTGCTCAACTTTTTGGGGACCAAAAAGCATGAGGTATCCCTCATGGTTTTCATCGAAAATCAAACAATCGCATTTTTTTTTTTACCTTGAAGATGATGACTTTTACTATGGTATGTATTACATCAAAATGTTGCTATCGATCCAAAGCAACCCTTGAAACGTCGTTTGTGTATCTTTTATATGTAAGTTTTTGACATTTTTGCTAGAAACCTCATTTCATATTTTTTGATATTGCTCGATGCGTTTATTATAAACATCTGCCATAAGCACCATCATTCGATGCGCCTTGAAAAGCACTCCAGAAATGCATTAGAAAGTATAAGATGATCATCGCATCTAATATAGTCCAATTCTGCAAAATAGATCAACCGAGTCGAAATTTATGCAAATTTGACGAATCGAGACCGCAAGTTAATCTTCGAAGCTTGAATCAGATTTTGGTGGCTGCTGGCAGGTGTAGGATAAAAAGGATGGATCCGGATAATAGATAAACCGTGGGTGGTACGGGGCGTAGGTATGGGTAGGGTGGATACGGTGTAGCTAGCAATGGGTGTATATGGTGTAGGGGGTACAAAATACGTGAAATGAGTGTCAAATTTTAGCTTTTATTCATGCAGATCTATTTTCTGATCTGGCAAATACGATAACATGCATACACCGTGTTAGAGATATCTTTCAAAAGACACTTTGTTACGCCTATATATGAGGTGAGTACCTTCATTTGCTGCTGTTTCCAATTGTCAATATCTACGAGGTATACAATTCCGCCAATTGTCTTATAGCATCTTGTATAAAAATGCCTACCATCATAGCAAGTCGAGTAGACTCTACCGTGCAATTTGTATTTTGAAGTCTGTGATATGTGGATATACGTAGACAGGTAAACATTGTTTCCTGCTGTTCGTCCAGAGACAAAGTTTGCACCATCTTGTATGAATAGGAACTCGGGAAACTGATCATCTTGAGGTAGTACTTTGAGTCATGTCGAAACTCCATCACACCCTGGAAAGTTATACTTTTCTTTCTGATGTTCTTTGAGCACCTTCTCTCTGAACAAGTCATTGAATTTCACGTCCAGTGCCATTTCATTGATAAATCCACGACAGTCTCTCAATTCCTCGATGATAGTGGTTGGAATCATGTAGATAAACTCAAAAAAAAGGCATCTCTAGCATACGCATGGGCTTTTTCTACAGAGCAAGACACTTTTCTTTCACATTGCAACGACGGAAATGTACAAATATTGCTTGCAAAGGCACCCGACAAACGCTGTAGTATCTTGCTCGCCTAATCGTGGGTATCACCTTCATGGCCTTTCGAGAATGTCTTGACCATTCGAGGAACACCAGAGACAATCTTGTATTCTGTCATATTCCAAACAAACTGTCTTGCTGTAAGAGTAGCTGCACGAATACCAAAATGAGACTGCTGGGAATAAGACTCCTAGGCATTGACAAGAACACTATCATAGGCATTGCTTTGGTCAGCGAAAGACATATCCACAAACGGAAGAACGGCATTGAGCAGGAGCTCCAAAGATGCATCGATAAAACAAGAGTTGTTTTGGTTGGGGAAAATGTACGTAGGAACAGGTAAAGACGAGTATTTGCCTGGATCGTTATTTTTGTAATCCTTTACGAGCCATTGATATTTTTGAAGAGACACCCTTTTTTGTGGTACCAAGAAGCCGGCAGTGGCAGATAAATCATTTTCAAGTGGAGGCTCACGTGTCATCCTGGTCTCATTGCTTGTATCGGGTTCGATTGCTACTCATGTCGAAGCCTCATGGGGCATTGGAGGAGAGCAGAGATCAATTACTGTATCAGATACGGATTTTTGAATGTCTTGAATCGTAAGATCAATAACTGCGCCATCACTTGCAGGAAAGGGTGAGTTCGAAGGAGGCGAAGGCAACGAAAAATCAGAATCGGATAGTGCTCTCATCTTGGATGAGGTAGGCTCAGACTTGTGTTGTAAAACTGATGTGGACTTGCATTTGGTCTTCATTAATGATGATGAAGAAGAAGAAGAGAAAGAGGAAGATGATACAAGATCAATAACGGACGCTTTCAATTCTTCATCTGAGCCGACAACATCTTCAACAGGAATTCCAAGGTCTAAAATATCAATGATACGTTACAGCCACAGCAATCAGAAACTATTGTAAGCATCCTTACCATCAAACATATCCTTAATGTCTTCATCTAGGTTCTCAGTTCTATCAAATACAATTTCTGCTTTACCGCTTTTGCATTCGTCGTCTGAGAGTAATTCAAGGAACAGTTTCTCATCACTGATATCATCATCTGGGAAATCATCCATCTTGAGACAGTCCCTCTCCATTTCATCAGTTTCATCCAGATGCTCAATTATAACAGCATCCAAACTAACATCACAGGTCTTTGCTTTTTTGGCCTTGCGTTTGCCATCCTCCTCAGCATCGCCAATGAACACCACTTCTTGTTTTCTCTTCTTGGTGCCAAAGAGTGCAGTGTTGTTGTTTGGCGTACGGCCGTCATTAATCTCATACAGAGTTGCATACTTTTTTGTCGGCTTCTTGGGTTTGTTTCCGTAATGTGGTCGGATATTGTGGTCATAAAAATCCATCAACACCATTCTATCACGCTTGGCGACCTGCAACAAAAGTCTTGGGCTTGTCGAAACGGTTTTGTCTTTTTTCTGGCATCAACTTGTACAAGGCACTATGGAACGCCTCAATTGCATTGGATGTGCGGCTCTTGTGTTGCCTCAAGTCGTTCTTCATCAAAGACTGGCATCTGAACACCATACTTGAGACACCAGGTTGGAGCCACCACTGCAACCACTTTTTACAGTTGGGAAACAAGGTCAAAAGCTCCTTACCAGTTCGAAAGAATTTGATACTATTTCTTGCGGTACGGAACAGATGGACTAGCTTCAAGAAGGTATCAATCTCATCTGGCTTGACAACTTGGTGGTTGTTGGACATGCGCTTGACTGATTGCATCCAATGCATATAGCACCCTTTTAAAAAAGGTAATGCATTGTGCTACTTGACACCGAAGCTATCCCTGAGGGCTAGTATGAAACCTTCGCGTTGGGCAGCTGAAAAGTCCATAATGACTCCCGAAAACTTCTCCAGTTTGACATCAAATTTTCTAAACAAAGCAACAAAGTATTCTTTGAAAACATGTGTAGTGTGGCTTTTGATTATCGCTTGATAAAAGACGACATGCTTCCGGAGTTGCTCGATATAGATGACACTTGAGCATAGACTAGATAATAGCCCTTTGGGACAGCCTTGAAAGCGACATCTGTTATGATCGGTTGATCTGCGAAAGGGAGATTACGCTGAAGCATTTCAGGTGAACAGAAGCTCACAAAAACCTTGCTAGGGACAATCTGTGCTGAATCCATAAAGCCTGGATACTTCTCATCAAGATCTTCAAAGGCAGCTACCACATCTTCCTTGGTAGAATATAGATCTTATTGGACCTTAGACTTCCGGATCTCATACTTGGTGCGTCCATGATTTGCCATTACACTGTTGATTTCTCTGACGCTTTTCGTGATGGCGCCAGTAGATGGATCGATGCCAGCAATGGCAGCAGCAGCAGTGATGTTTGGTCTATCTTTTACCATATTATTTAAGTCTTTTTTTTTCGTGTCTATCAAGATGAAGCGAGTTGTAGATACAGTGTGTGTGTGTTTTTTTTTCTCGGTTGTCTCTTGATACATTGTAACTGTACTACCTCTGTCTTCTCTGCGAATATCAGTTACACGGAAGGTGAAAGTTGCACCAACACCACAGTCGATCCGCTTCAATGGCGCCTCACAGTATGGGCATTGAAACTTTTTGAGGCAGCCAAGCTCGTCTTTCCAGTCAACAGGAGGTCTTTGATTCTTGACCCATTCAGGTCTTTTGCATTGCAGACTGAGGCATCGCAAAGCACCAGCACACTTTTTATGGATTTTTATGTCGTAACGGCTCTCACCTTCAGCGAGTTTTTCAACTGGTTTGTACTTGCTGTAAGCTTTGCTGTGGTTTTTTTCAAAGCCCATCCAATACTTAATCTTTTGATTCTGAATGTATTGGTGGTGCGGTCAAATGCAGCGGGAAGGACTTCTTCGACGGTTTCGTCAGGAAATTGATTGAAGAAATCATATTCCATTTCATAACTTGAGTTGTCCATGTTGTTTAAAGTATTGAAGAAATATAATAAGGTAGATGAACAAAATGAAGTGCCTGATCCTACATGTCAAAAACTTTTACTGCTCTGCCCTGAGGGGGATGTACGTATAATGCAATATAATCTATCCACCCATTGCTAGCTACACCATATCCACCCTACCCCTACCTACGCCCCGTACCCTCCACGGTTTATCTATTATGCGGATCCACCCTTTTTATCCTACACCCTGCTGGCAACAGTAATGATGCTTTTCTCATGAAGGCAGTAGATATTTACAGCTAATGAGAAGGGGATAGCAAACCGAGCGGGCTCTATCGTGTAGCCTGGTTAATATTTCCTCTGATCTTGCTTCGTATTTTTTATATTTGGCAAGCATTATTTTTTTGAGATTTTGCGCGGCCAAATGTTACTCCCAATGCGAGATGTAGATGTGTGGCCCTGCTCAAAATTGCAAATCATGCTTTCAGATACAACATCTTGGTATGCACAGCGTTTCACACCAATTGAAGGCAGCTTGGAATCGCTTTTTTTTTTCAATCTCGTAGTATTACGCGATCTGGATCGAGAATTGCAAAATGTGATGGCATGACTTACAGCAATTTTGAGAGCAGGAAAAAAAAACAATGTATACGCAAACAATATTTACGCTCTTCCTTTGCGACATCCCTCTAAGTGCCAACGCGATCGCTCGCAGAAAGAGATATGCCACACGACTTGATTGCACTAAATTAGGCAAGAAAAACATCATTCAACCGACATATCGGGCCTAATCAAGTACTTGCAACTTTAAGTTGTCCAATTTCGCGGAGAAGACATGTTGCATGGCAATTACGTTATCAGTTTCGTTTTGATTATTAAACGTACGTGACGTTTAATGACAAGGTATAAAAGGGCCATCAAAGTGGATGACATTGATCTTTCATCACCCTATATATTCCATTTCAAATTATAATGTCCAACACATCTGTTCTCACTCTGTAAGTCTTTGGTTTGTGGTCTACATTGGCCATGTGTGCGCTAACATGCATTCACAACCTAGCAATACTGGTAAGCAAATTCCTGCTTTGGGTCTCGGTACATGGCAAAGTAAGCCCTCTGAGGTCTACGACGCTGTTCTCGCTGCTCTCAAGACTGGGTAAGTTTTACATTGCCGGATGGGCGAAAGAATGTTTGTTTGCTAAAAGTTTGCATGAATGTAGATACAAGCACATTGATGCTGCTTTTATTTGTAAGTATTATTTGGTCATGGAAACTTTGCCATCCAGTTCAGAAAAATTGACATGGCTTGACAGACGGTAACGAGAAGGAAGTTGGTAAGGCCATTAAGGACTCTGGCGTCCCTCGTGAGGAGCTCTTCATTACCACCAAGTTGTGGAACACTTTCCATCGTCCTGAAGATGTCGAGAAGGCTCTTGAAAAGTCTCTCGAAAACCTCGGTTTGGAGTACGTTGATTTGTACTTGATGCACTGGCCCGTTGCTTTCCAACCTGGAGAGGACCTCGCTCCCAAGGATAAGGATGGTAAGACTCTTTTCGATGAGACTGACTTTACTGAAACCTACGCTGTAAGTGAAAAAGTGCAAAGCTGTGTATCATGCAGCTAGAGATAACTGAATTAGAAGCGCGAGATACTGACGCTATAGAGTGTAGGCCATGGAGAAGCTTGACAAGAAAAAGGCTCGCGCCATTGGTGTCAGTAACTTCAACATCAACAAGCTCGAAAAGCTCGCCAAGACTCAAAAGATTGTACCTGCTGCCAATCAAGTCGAGTTGCATCCTTTCTTGCCTCAAGATGATTTAGTCAAGTACTGTAAGGATCACGGCATTCTTGGTAAGTATTCGCCATGTTGGCCAAGTAACACAGTGCAACACAGAAGAGCTCATTTGTTTGTTTCAACAGTTACTGCCTACTCTCCTCTCGGTAGTACTGATTCTCCCTTGTTCAAGGATGAGAAGGTCCTCAAGATTGCTGAAAAGTACAATGTGTCTCCTGCTCAAATCCTCATTTCTTGGGGCCTTAAGCGTGGTTACTCTGTTATTCCCAAGAGTGTTACTCCCTCTCGTATTGAATCCAACTTCCAAACTGTTGAACTCAAGGATGAAGATTTTGAAGTTTTGAATCAAGTTGTCAAGGCTGAGAAGGCCAAGAGATTGGTTGATCCTTACAACTTCTGGGGTGTAGATGTCTTTGAGGAGCACAACTAGATTGCTATCTATCTTTATGTAAAATAAATTTATTCATCATGTCCATATTGTATCACTCTTTTGTTTTTTACTGCTATTCTGATTTTGGAAACGTGCTACCAATGGCGCTATACCTACTATTGCTACAAAGAAGTTGGGGTTTCGTGATTTGATGACGAGCAAGACAAAGCAGCCGATAGCAAAACGTACCGACTATAAACCCTGCTTTGACGATGGATGTGGTTGTTGAAAAGAAATGAGTGGAGCAAGAGCCAGGTCAGCCCACACTGTAAGATTGCCATGGTAAATACATATGCTCTTGGATTTTAGCATATATAATTTATGCACTAATTTTGGCTCCAATAAATCAATAATTCGGTTATTCTTTTACTCCTTGTTAATTCCATCATCACGATCTGCATCTCTTATTTTGGGGATTGTCAGTAATAGTGCGATGTCTTTCGCGGGGAAGCACGAAAAAGGAGGAAGGCTTTAGAATCGTAAGAGTCTCGTAAATGCGTATTAAGTTCATCTATTTAAAATGTGTATTGCACTGCTACTAAATCAAACAGTGCGGTGTATACATTGAGGGAGGAGCGTCCACCCAAGACACTGACACAGATGCTGATCTCCCTCCCATGGACTCCTCGCTCCTTGTTTTTTGCGCTCCCCTCCTTTTGGGCCACCAATGATACCTTGTGAGAGCTTGTGTTCAATAGGGTCATCATGCAAGCAAATGTGTATACCTGTTCTGTTCATATATATACAATCATATCAAGTCATTTTTTCCGCACTCAGAGGCGCAATCAGTTTCAGATGTCGCACTCATTTGTGTGGTTGGTGTATCAAAAAGACTGACCAAGTGGCACGGAGTAACATTTCTTTAATACATCGATTACCTCTTGATTTGATAGATCCAGCCTGTTGCATGTATAAATATATTATTTCCTTAATTCTTGCGTGAGTATTTGTTTTATTTGTGTCTTTTTTTCCCGTTTAATTTTTTTTTTTTTTGATATTTTTTCCTTTCTCTTCTTCTTGTTCTTCTTCCTCTTTGTGCTGCCTTCTCCTTATTTCTTCTTTCCTTCCATCTCTACTTTATTCCTGTTTGAAAAACAAGGCATTTAGCTCAAAAACATCTGCCATCTCAATACCTTTCGCCAGACCATCCATACGCATATACAACATTTGAAATGGGCCAAATCCTAGCTTCCTTGAATCTCCGCGGAGGAACTGATTCGATTGTACCTGAAATCAACTTTGATATTGAAAGTAAAGTATGGATAATAGACGCAGCGAATCTATATACTGAAATGGTGAATAAACTAGATGCTAGACCTTCCTTGGAAGAGCTGGGAATTTACAACGAACTCTATGCGCTATTAGTACAACCCAATTCCAATTTATTGAATATCCTTAAAGAATACAAACCCGCTTCAGATGAGATCCGAAATGCAATAGCAACGCCTAATCAGGAAAACGAGGATAAAGCATGGAACGCTATTTTACCCACTGTGGATGCTCTGCGTGAATTCTACACTTATTCTTCCGAGTTGGGTACATGTGGACGAATATTTTCTAATTTTAACCTTGTTATTAACTTTTTGTATGAATAATACAATGATGTAGAACGAGGCATCCCAATGTTACTCAATGTTCTATGTAAAGATGGCGGTGGTACAACAAAAGATCTTGACAGGCATCCAGGGCTAACAAGATTATTTGCTGAAATACTGGATTTTGTATTCGAGTTTGACCATCTCAAGATTAGAAATCCCACACTACAAAACGACTTTTCATTCTATCGCAGAACACTGCAACGAGGCAGAGCCGCAGAATCCACGCTGACAACACCTACATCACCCGAGAAAGAGAATACCAATCAATCAGATCTGCGATTAGCTATCAACGAGGATGACTTGGCTAATCGCATTTCCCTGTTCATTGCATACCCTACACCCATGTTGAAATGCGTCATTGATACAACTACAAAATACGTGCAGTCAAATCAATTAGTAAAATGCACGAGTGAATGGCTAGCGAGCATTTGGGCAGTGTGCTATCAGACACTAAATACAAACTATAAGAAATCCAGCAGCAGCTCAGTCGATACCTTTTGCTTGAAAGTGATGGTGGTGTCCATCATATTGTATGACCATATTGATCCGAGCGGTGCCTTCACCAAGTCGTCACCCATCAATGTAAAAAGCTCCTTGAAAATAATTCAGAATGTAAATCAGATCAACCGACAAGAACAAACAAGCATATCAAATCTTATTTGTGCCTTGAGATATAATTCGAAGCATCTAAATGATGAGTCCACACCAAAAGGAATAAAGAATTTTGTCATGGCCATTTAAATGTAGACTATCATGATTGTTTGTTCGGGATGTTCCATGTTGTCGCAGTACTGTGAGCTAAACATAGCCATGGCTGTATAATTAGAACGGCTGAGGAGTTTGACTATTCTAGGCACATAGTGCAAAAGAGTGCATATGTGTGTCGTATACAGTTTTTAACAATTCTTCAGCATCCCTCTGTCGTTTTGAAGCGGTTTGCATAAAGAGAACAGAGCGCTACATTTGTCGAGATCTTTTGGTTTGGGAGTTGCAGATTGTATACAGTTCACATGGTAATTCAGAGTTGAATTTCCAGCTATTTAGCTACACATGTACCACTTGGCACCACCATGTAACAAATGCGCATTGATGGCTCATTGCGAAGATGCAGTCTATATACTACACACAGAATTGTTTGCGAGTTTATTAACATTTGGTAGTACTTGCGGGTTTTACAAACTGTTTTAAAGCATAGGAAATGTGCCCGTTGTGAGGAGAAATGAGTTATATTTCATGATGCCTGAATATCCAACATTGCAAACATTACGTAGCATCACAACTGCATACATATAAAGAGACCATTCAATCGCGAATAATATACGGGCCCTGTGTAATTGATTGCAGTTACTGCGATTGTAGGCATGTTAGCATTGAAAAAAAATTCAAGCCCATGATACCATGGCTCACATGGTGTCTGTAACTTATCGGGATCTGTCTTGCTCATGACAAACAAACGGTGTGAGGCTCGAGACTTATTATGACATGTAATATTGGCAATGGGAATTCGCAATAGACGAACATTTATCATGTTGTGGCTTTGAAAAAATTATCAGATCATGCCAAATTCAAGGCAGATGCCTCTTCAGAAGCTTATCATGAGAAAGTGTCTCTCCAAATCTTTTTTTTTTTTTTTTTTTTGCTTGCCATAGATTCGATAAGTTTCGGATCGATCCCCAGTTGGCATCTTGATCATTGTTCACGGCCCTGATCTACACTTGTATACATGTATTGATGGAGCATAATGTGTCCATGGAATGTCAAGTTCTACCATTGAGCAATAGATACATATAGATTGCAGACATACTATGTCTCCGTCACTGCTTGGCTTGCGGCAACTGGACATTTTAACATGATGAAAGTATAATGGGAGTTCAAAATTAAAGCACGAGGATGATCCAATCACTGATGTGAGGTTATCATAGGGCTTTTGGTGGAGTTATTTCATTCTCTCACTCTCTCCCTTTCTCTCACTCTCTCTCTCTCTCTCTCTCTCTCTCAACAAGATTATAATTCCCCTCTTTTTTATTTTCTTTGTTTTATTCTCTCTCTCTCTTCTTTTTCTTTCCTCTGATTGTACATAACAGCAAGGAAAATTTACATAACAATTTGTATATCGTTTCAATCATCATCTCGCTGAATACATCTACTGCTACAAAAACTCATCGAATCAATTTCCCTCCTTTATAATCAGGTAATGCAAGTAAAATGTGTGCGGGGACAAGACACCTTGTTGATATAAAGAAAAAACTAACCTTTTTGCTTTGATTTTATCTCATTTTCATTCTTATAATTTTTTTCATCCACCTCGTGTTTCTGACCTGGCAACAAACGTGCTATCTTTTTTTTATTGTCATACCTTAATTTTGATATCCAATCATTTTGTGATCAGATTTTTACTTTAAGCCGAAAAGATGATGCTCTACAAACTCGTTGTGCTTGGTGATGGTGGTGTAGGCAAGGTAAGGAAGCGTCTTGTATACAATAGCTTTTTTTTCGCTAAGCATCTCCTTTTATTACCCCACTAGACTGCTTTGACAATTCAGGTATATACCAGTATCGCTTACATGATATAGTTGACAATGAAATTAACATGTTATATCACAACGCTCATCAGCTTTGTCTTAATCATTTCGTTGGTAAGTGTCTATGTGTATGTCGTTGAATCTCGGAACAAATTAAACTAATTTTACACAATAGAGGTAATAACATAGTGCGACATTAATCTCTAAATTTATCACTGAAATTCCAATCTAGACTTACGATCCCACCATTGAGGATTCATACCGTAAACAAGTTGTCATTGACGATCAGCCATGTGTGCTCGAAGTATTAGATACAGCTGGACAAGAGGAATACACCGCATTGAGAGATCAATGGATTAGGTAAAGAGAAAGAGTATCATGTGGGATTCGTGCTTGGGCGCTAAAAAGAAAATATTCATTGCTTCAGAGATGGCGAAGGCTTTTTGTTGGTATACTCAATCGCCTCTCGCTCGACCTTTGAGCGCATCGAACGTTTCCGTAATCAGATCTTTAGAGTGAAGGATCTTGATAACGTCCCCATGATGCTGGTAGGAAACAAATGCGACAAAGTGACAGAAAGAGAAGTTACACGAGAAGAAGGGTCTGCAATGGCTAAGCAATTGGCTTGTGATTTCATTGAAACATCCGCAAAAACTTGTGTCAATGTCGAGAGATCATTCTATCAAGTTGTCAAAGCCATCAGAGCTCAACGCGAAGGATTGAAGCCTGGAGGACCTAAAGGAAAGAGTAAGAAGGAAAAGAAGAGCAAATGTTTAATCTTGTAAACACATCTTCCCCATGTTGCCTCTCATTTACCACTTTTTTTTTTCACCACAAACCCTTATCTCTTACTTGCTTATTACTTATTAACTAAATTTTATAAATTGTCATCCATTGTCTACTTTCATGATAATTGTAAAACGATGATGCCTTGCTACTACCATGACTCAAGCCTTCCACCTCCTCCTCTCCCCCTTTTTTTTTTGCTAACCATGTACTGTGTATCTATTTTTTTTTCGTATTATTTTCAATGAATAAATAATTCTCAAAAAGTGATTCAGGTCTTTTTTTTTTTTTGTGAGGTCGTCAGGTTGACAAGGGGACAGATCAGCGGTTTTAGGCGAAAATTGTTTGCAATTTCCATGTGATTTGATGCCTAAAAGTAACAGCAAACAACATCACCCCATGGATCCATTGAGCCCAAATGCCGCATTTACGGATAATACGTGTTGACTAGTCTGTCCATCATTGACTCTAATCTGTAAAGGAGAAAAGTTACTGATCAAATCTGGTTACTCAGAAACAAAGTAAACGCTTATTCCTGCAAATCACGTAGATCTCATGGCATCATGCCCTTTATCGGTCCTTCATCAGCCTACTACTGCTTTAAGGGTTCTTTTCTTGATATATTGAGCAAGTAAACTTGGCAAGAAACTCACTTAAAGACTGATTCTACATGCAAATGCCGTTTCTTTGTAGAGCACGCTGATTGATCCTTGGTACCTGTGTCGTGCTTGATGCGAAAGGTACATCAAACTTTGGACTACTCCTAGTCACAGAAAAAAAAGTAGAAGGGATTGTGTTCCCTTCATACCAAATGAATGTACATCAAACCTTTACTTCTCTTCCATTTGTAAATACTTGTTCCCCAGGCTATAAGATATCATGGCCAATTCAGATCATAGCGAAAAAGAAGATGATGTCGATGTCTTTGAGGTAGAAGAGATTGTCCAAAAGGTCTTCCACAACGGTCAAACTTTGTATGAAATCAAATGGAAAGGCTATCCTTCAGAGTGGTAAGTGGTGGGATAGAGAAGCGTGAAAGGCGTAACTCGAACTGACCCAACTGGATTAGAGTATCAATCATGCAAAAACGACACATTGTCTGTTGACCCTTTTTTATTTTGCTCTCTCTACAGTGAAAATACATTTGAGCCTGCAAGCAACCTGAACTGTGAGGACTTGTTGAAAGCATTCGAGGAAAAAGAAAGAAAACGGCTAGCACAATCCTCATCTTCAACCTCAATTCTAACGAGTCCATCCTCTCCATCATCCAAAAAGAAAAAAAATAACAAGCAGAAACGAAAAGTAACCTTTGAAGTGACGGATGACACAGTTACATCGAGTGCAAGTGGAAAAGTGTCAACGCCTGAAATCTTTACGTCGGACGACGATGATGAGCCAATTGCTCTTCTTCTCAAAAGAAGCAAAGGTAAAGAGAAAGTGGCCGAGAACAAACAAGCAAAAGACAAAGGCAATCATAAGGAAAACCCACAGCAGAGCAGTAGTAATAGCAGCAGCAGCAGCAGCAGCAGCAGTAGCTATACCATTCCAAAGTATTCCAATTTACAACCCCAACAAAGCCCTCAAAACGAACAAGAACATAGACAGCCGGCGAAACCACCCTATCCCACAATAAGCAATATACCACAAAAAGTAAGTGTCATTATTATCTGTATACATTCTTGATCTCTCATTGTCTTTTTTTTTTTAATTTGGTGTGTGTTTTATTATTAGCCATCGCTTTTTATTCACAAGGATCATACACCATCCAATTTGGTCTCATCTTCTTCTTCATTCACCAATTTGAAGCGATCCTCGGCATCAAAATCAGCGCAACGTAAGTCAATCGCATCTGTCTGTTTATAGAGAAAAAATATTGACATGTGTTTGCCAACGAGACAGCTGTGGAAATTGATCGCATCTTGAGCCAGTTTAACGGAACATTTCGACATATTACTCCAGCAACGCCCAAAACACTGCGAACCATACAACCTGCTCTTATGCCAGTGCCAACATATCATCCTCCTTCTAGTAATACAACTCCACCTACCACACCAACATCTCAAACCCTAATAAAAACAAATCCTAGAATGCCTGATTCGACTCCACAAAAGCAACAGCCACTTCAACCTCAACCGCAACCGCAACCGCAACCACAACCGCAGCAGCGCTCAGCACCTCCACTGCCGCCACACCAACCATTTCATCAGCAACTGGGTCCCTCCATTCCCATCAAACGACAGACCTCCAGACCTGATCCCCGCCTCATTGCCAACGAGAGGAAAAAGTTCAAGCTAAGCAAAAATGAGCCATGTAAAATAGAAGCCTTGTTAAAGAAAGGCAATGACCCAGTGTGTCGAGTGACATTAAGCGGTGTTGCAGACAAAATACCACAGTTGAGCCGTATAAAGTAAGTTGCTGCATATCAAGACTAGGATGTGAATTCAGGTGATTAAAAAGGGTTGTGTGTTGGATAGATATCTTTTGCAATTGCAACATCCACAAGGCAACGAAATCACCATCAACTCATTTCTACCTCTAAAGAGATTCAGCGACTACATAACAGCGGAAAGAACATTGAGCTTCATGTCTGTTGGACCCGCAGATCAGTTTATTCAAGCAGGAAAGTTACGAAATTTCATGTCCGTCAACGAGATTACGGGTATCGTGTGTCATCCGGATATGCCAACAGAAGCACTGTTCATCATGGCAGCAAGGGATGTGTCCAAAATATCGAATTTGCCGACGGATAATGGAGTTGAGAATACTCGATTGGATCAGCTGTTTGCCATCTTCATGGACAATTTGCCTCCTCGCCCCCGAGTGAACTTTCAAGATGTAGATTATGCAGATGAAGCAGATCAATTGTTCTCATGGCGTCAAATGTGCCGATATCTCAAATTTCCCGCACAGGTATAAAGATACATGAAATGTAGGGTATTTTAACCATGTCAACTGATCCAGATTGAAAAAAAAATAACATAGCTGCAACATTTATATAAAACAACCAGCTTTCTAGTATATGGCCATTCAGAATCCAGCATCATGTTGAATAAGGCATGCTTGTCATTACCTCCTGTCACCCGTAAACCCACAAATCCTATGATTCCGCATAATATCATGATGGTAAGTCGTCTTGTTTTGCAACGTGAGGGTTGTTGAAATTAAGCCCGGTTTTTTGTAGTTTGATCGATTCAACAATGAACTTCAACACAAAAACTTGCTCAAACATAAGCGAGAGCCAGTGACCCAAATCTGGGAGTTTGGTGTACCCAACTTCTACTATGGTGACATTGAGCCAGCTTGCGAAGTGTTTCCTCAGCATTCAGGCGGCTTTATCACAACGGACGTTGCCAACATTGTCAACAATCCACACATCATTGAGGGTATATGCAGTCAGATTAAAAGAGTGAGTACTCTCCATCAAGCCCATCTACAACGCGTGCTTACTCAGATGTTCCATAGTTTAACGATGTGCCTGTGGCATTTGGTGAATGGAAGTTTGTGCTGCCTCACAACTTTTTGCACTCTTTCAAACAACTGCTTAAAGACGGACATAGCTCGGTGGCGTAAGTTGCTTTGTTGAGTTTTTTTTTTTTTTTTTTTTTTTTTTTTTGCAGGATCATGACTTAACTGCTTGCAAATAGGATCCAGGAGGCGCTCATCTATTTGACCATCGCGCTGAGTAATGGGGATATAGAGATCATGCGTACATGGCCCAAGGAAGATGAAGAACCCAACTCCATTGTTTTTATGAAACATGTCCTGCGCAAGTATTACAAAACACACCAATACTTTGTATATGTAGACGATGTGGATACAGTGGACACCAAATCCAAGGAGACGCATGTCAGCATTGATTTTGTCACTACTGACATGATTTTTAGGACATTTGCCTAGTGTAATTGTAACATTCATGTACATACCTGTCTTTCTCTCTCTGTTTCTCTCATTCCCATTCACATTATAAATCAAAACAGTAAACGTCTTTCTCTGTCCTTTTTGGTTTGACATTTGAAATATTTTATTTACAAAGCAAGATTGTTGAAGTTGAGAATATGGTGATGTCGTTGTGTAGTACGTCAGAGTGATATGTATTGGGGTTTTATTTACTTGGCATGCTATCAACTTTTTAATTAGACACAATAACACCTCAACACGCCCATAAGCACTTTACCTTTTCAACCATGTCTTTGGCAATCTTGTTGAACTTTGCTCTATCTTTGGTGTAGACTTCAGCAATGGACGCAACAAGTGCATCATCGGGATTAGGCGCTTGCAATAAAGCGGCCAATGCTTGCAAAACTACGAAAAAGCGGTTAATGCCATCCACTCGATATTCTCTGTCAGTATCATCTTACCATTGACCAGCTTGGTGGCAGGCTTCCAAATATCAGCCTTCAACAGATCAACACAAATGGAGCCTTCGTCATCAATGTTGGGATGATAGATCTTGGTAGTAAACTTCATCTAAAATACCTGTGGATAAATATATGATGTGTTTTGTGATAGATAGAAATGACATACCTTTGGTGGTTTAAATGGATAATCTGCAGAAAACACAATGTCTAATTTGAAGCGTCCACCTTGGTAAGGAGTACCTTGCTTTATAACGATTCACAATTAGCACACACAATGTTGTCTGTCTCTCTCTCTCTCTCTCTCACACACACACACACACACACATGTCGTATTTACTTACAGGTCCTATCAAGATACCTTTTTTTGTATGCAATGCAAGTTAGTTTTATCATGGAGCAAATTTGTACTTTGTACGCTGCTCACCTTGCCAATGAAACATGTCTTCATCAATGGGCCCTGCACTGACACCTGGAGGTGGATTCTTTGTTAAATCTGCCAATTCCTGTGCAAGATCTTGGGTCAAGACAGGATTCAGTGCACGAGTAGCCACCTTACTTACCTTTTGAATTCTTTTCAAAGCCATATTGATAATGGTGAGATATACAGGAAAAAAGAAAAAAGAGAAATAGGTCGACGCGATTCCTTTGTTTCCTTTATAGTTACAGTGGAGTCTCCAACAAGCAGCAGTCTCAGTATTGCTCAGTGTCAATCTACATGAAATCTTGCATAAATGCTGAAAATAGCAAGGGATTACGATTATTGAGTGGTTCAAGTATACGTCCAATATGGAGAGATATGTCTTGTGTGAATGTTTGCTGTGTCAAACAGCGAGAAAAGCTTGATTTGAATGGCATCGTCTGATTCTTTATGACTCGAGCTATCATCATCTGTGAATCTACCAACAGAGATTTGTTAGTCCGTTGGGCCCCTCATACTTTGATTGATACTAATAAATAGACGTTGGCCATGAAAGCATGATTCATTACTGTGAAAGGTCATTATACACTCTCTGCATTCAGAATAGCGACTCAACTGCGGGACACTCTACGTTTCTTAAAACACAACTATTTGCGGCGTTCACGTTCTTGGATCCAGAAACCTATGTGCTTTTAGTCAGGGGAAATCTTACAAACTGATCACAAGCACACTGTCATGTTCGTTCATCTACTCCCAGAGCAGCGAATGAGTACTTTCGAGATCATCCTGCTCCTCAAATACATTAATAATGATGCATGTTGATATTTTTTTTTTTTTCAAGATGTTTTTTTTTTTTTATTATTTCATAGAGATCAGAGACGAGATCAGAGAAATAATCGAGGTCGAGATAAACACGATACGCTTAGAAAACGAGAGCAGCACCCTTGGTCTTCTTGTCACCACCCAATTCGAAGTGCTTACATCTCTTGATAGCGAGTTGCATCTTGTACTTGCAGGCTGTTTTGAAGTGTGAGTCATTATATTCGATAATATCAATCAACTTTATACGGATTACTTACCAGTACATTCGAGACGGAGAACAATCTTCTTGGTAGTCTTAGCCTTCTTGTGGAAAACGGGCTTAGTTTGACCACCATAACCGGATTGCTTACGGTCATAACGTCTCTTACCTTGGGCAAAGAGAGAGGCCTTACCAGCCTTGTATTGAGTGACCTTGTGAGGAGTGTGCTTTCTACACTTGGAACCCTTACAGTAGGTGTTTCTGGTCTTGGGAATGTTGACCTAAGAGATGGAAAGAATGAAGAGTCAATTCTCTCTGTTGTTGATGATGGAAAATCACACATCCCCACAACATCCATCCAACATATCAACATGTCATTTCCAAATCGTCAAGTGCGTCGTCGTTAAAATGCGAGATGTATGTCGTGCTCCATGTCGAAGGATGGATGGATGTGTGTATGTGCGTGCTGAACAGGATCGACTCACTCACCATTGTTAAATTCACAAAGAAAAGAGGAGTTCTACAACAATCTGTTAGCTGGGTGCCACTTTGCTAGCTTGGATTCTTTCGTTGATTCAATCTACTAGCAGGGTCTGTCCGGCATCGCAACCAGACGGAGTGGCCTGGACACACACACACACACACACACACACACACACATTGAAAAAAGACGAGAGGTGTGTCATGTCAAATCAATACACTTTATTTATAGTTGAGGTTGTCTGGCAGCAAGCTCTTCGTCTGTACTAGCCATGGCGACATCCCAGTAATTTTCAACATTCCATTTACCCAACTCTTCTCTTGCCATCTTTTCACTCTCAAAGGAACGCCATGTAAATCTCTTGAAGGACTTGGATTTCACTTGGCCTGTCCAAACCAAGAAGCACTTGTTCTCTTCTCCTTCAGCAAGACCGTAGGCACTAGGCTGATCAATATCCATAGCAGCTTCATCTGCTTCTAAATTCTTGGGAGGTGGCATGTCGTTCCAATCAATACGTCTTAGCATGAGTTTTTTGTAGGCTTTGATGGCTTTAGGTCCTCCTTCCACAATCACAATGTTACATTTAGGATGAACAATAACAATACCAGTTAATTGATGCTGCTGAGCATTCATTTCAATCTTGTATCTCAGTTTAGGATGAGAGCATGATTTGATCCTATTTAACGACAATGAGCGTTCTGTGTGTCAGCCGCACTGCATTTCGGTTAGACTTACTTGAATACAGCAACTTCGTTGGATGTCTTTTGATCTTCCTTGAGCTTGTTCAGAATCTTTGCTCTTCTCTCTTCCGGAGTCAATTTACGCTGTTCGTTTGCCTTATCGTGCATCTTTTGACGAAGCTCCATCTCTTTTCGCACTTTGGCTTCTACCTTAGTGGGATCTTGAATAGCTTCTTCTCCCAACACTCGCATCAAATTACTAATTTTAACTGTGCTATCGATCAGTACAATTGTCAACATGCAGTCCATTAGCATTGCTTACCTTTTGGAGCATCTGGCTCCAGCAAACCCAGTCTAATTTTATCACGCTTGTCCTTCAACGCCTCTGCTCTTCTTTGTCTTCTCATCTTTTTGCGCTCCTTTGTAGTCAACATGAGGGATCTGACAACGGGTGCTGCATTGACTTCTCCAGGGGGTTGAATGACAACAGGATGATGAACGTACAGTGTCACCAAGGTATCATATTTATCTGGATTGATTTCATTTTCATTCAAATCGTCGTATGTCTTGTTGGCCAAAAAGGGAGCATCCCACCATTCTACTGCTGGAGGTGCGTCTCTCTATAGACGGTGTCAGTACATGTGGGACCTACACAAAACAGTTGTAACCTACCTTGATCACCTTGTCAGACACATCAAACTCGGTCTGCATACCAGCCTTTTTCACGCTCTCCGTAATTTCTTGCTTCAGTTTCTCCAATTGCGCCTTAGCTCTCTCTTGGTTAGCAATATCAATGTATTTACCAGGCTGAACAAACTTCAATTGTCTCGAACGACGAGATTTAGGTGCAATTTTCACTTCCATGGAGGGATCAAAGTAAGGGTTCTTTGTAGGATCTGTAAATTCAGCAGGCACTTCATCGACGATCTTTAATGGCTTTTTCTCGGCTGCAGCTGGTATCGAGGATGTTTGCTTTGCTCGTTCGAGTGCCTACAAGATCACATCCATTAGGTTTAGGAGAATAGGCAAACATACGCATACACTACAATCGTACCTTTGAGTTTGTGGTCTCTCTTCTGGGTATGATGCCGGTGTCCATCATTGCTTTCAAATCAATCTTTCCAGACTTGTCAAATGGCATACTGGGCGGTTTCGTTTCAGTTATACGTGCTGAAGGACCTCCAACAGCTGAAGAACGACTCTACGTGTCGAGCCATATGTAAATACTTGTAATTCTACCCACACATTCACACAGCAACTTACGTTTGCACTAGCAGGGCTTCCTGTTAGACGAGTTTTCGCTTCTGCAATGCGTCTCTGAAGTTCTACTAGATTCAAACCACCACTTGTACCTGCTGGAGGAGGAGCTGGAATGGGCACTACCTTCTTGGCAGGCGGTGCTCTTGAAGATCTCTGTCTAGCATGTGGTGAGGATGGTGATGCAGGTTGTTGAGGTGGCGGTGCCTGTGGTTTGGCTGGTGCAGGTTTTGGTGGAGTAGAAGGGTTGAGAGAGCCTCCAGGCTTTTGGAACTTTTGTAATTTGGCTAAAATTTCAGCTCTCTTTGCATCAATGAGTGCTTGCTAATAGAGATGTTAGTTTATGGGTGAGCCTTTTATTGATTTTTGCTATCAATGCAATACCTGCTTAGGGTCCATGATGTAGTAGGCTCTGTTCTTTTACAAGTGCTGGATGTAGACAATTAAAAAGAAAAGCAATGAACACACGCCTTTGCAATATCACCGCAGTTTGTAAATCTAGGCCCAAAAAGCCACCAGTGCGTCACGTTTCTCTACTGATTTGACATTGCATAGAGCCATTTGCATAAATCAGCCTGAAAATGCCGGAGAGGTGGTGTAAACAGGTCCACTGGACTCAAATGAATCTATTGTAGCTATGCAAACCATTCCAGACTATCGAGATGGCGCCAAAACTTACCCTGACTTTGTAGCTCAAGTTTTGGACAAGCAATGCAATATTGGTTGTGATGAACACTTCTCTATTCATTTACGAAGAGAAAATAGAATAAAATACGCTTCTGATATATTATAAATTGATCTGGTATTTCCAATCATAAAAAAAAAAGTCTTCAGTACCTGACATCACTTTGCAAAAAGGAATAAAAGAAGCCATGTCTTAAACTGTATTTACCATCTCATAGACTTTCGTTGTTGCATATCTCAGCATCATAACATCTCACGCGTTTTACAGTTTGTAAAAGTTCTATCCAAAATCGATCGCCTAACCTCTTCTATAGACAAGCTATGGTTATGACTTGTCTACTGTGCCAAACTCACTTTCTTTGTATAACAGCAATCAACAATGCGACCAAAATCCATCTGCTGCGAGGAAATTTAGAAGAAAGCTAAAAAAAAAAAAAAAAAAAAAAAAAAAGAGTAGATATTAACCAATTCTTTTCAATAGTATTATCGATTCCAGTCTATAGTAAGATTTTACAGAATTGAAATGCGTATCGAGTGGTACGCACTTGTCAGCAATGCTGCAGCTTGCGCCCAAATACGCTTGTTTTCAAATATCTTGAGGGTATTCATAGGAAAATAAGTACCAACAACAAGAAGCCTTCACTAAAGTATCTATGGCAGTACTCATTATGTGATAACATGGGGCGTGAAAAAGCAATCCCCCTTCCCCCTCCCCTTTTTGCTGAAATACGCAGCACAGCTTCAAACCTTTTGCCAAATCACACCAAAACAAGATATCACCAAGCAATTTTCAATATACAGTCTCCCCTAACACCTAATCCATCTATCCATGACTCGTCATCACTTGACATTAGCATCTTACAATAGGTTTCATACATAGTTCCTTGCTCAAAATTGCCTTGGTTCAAAAAATCATTCACCTCTCAATAGCAACCCGCCATCATCCTCCAATCTCAAATCCAACAGCTACAGTATCCTTTTCTTTCTCGCAAAATTTTCATACAAGAACTCGCGATATTCAATGATGCTCCAGTATCAGTATTTCAAAACTCAATTTTGGATGGCCCAAACCTCGAAGCTGGAAGCACTTTTGTATATCCAAAATCTTTTTTGGATGTAAAGTAGAAATTGACGAACCTTGAACTTGATACCACATGTTGGAAATCAATGATAAAAGACACATGTTTGGCGAACCATTTGGCACTCCTGGGAGGATCTAGTACCGAGTGTACTACTGTACCAATATAATACGCTTCCTCACATAATAAATTGAATAAACGTCCCTCACATAAAGCGGTATAATGGATGTTAAATCGAATAATTGCACCTTATGTTATTTCGAATAAAGAATAAAGAAAAACGTATATTGTAGCTGTTTGGATACCCTTTTATTACAAACACAAAACTATTATAAATGACGGATCAATAGGAAATCAACTAGCTGTAACTCTTCGTTGTTCAAATCTCTGAGCCAATCAGATTGCTCAAAAACTCCGCTGATCTAAAAAAATTTTGCGAGGGTTTCCCCCTGTTTTGATGCGAGGCAAAATTTTAAGCGCCGCTATATATAGCAATATAGCCGCTGCTATCATCAAACTTCCCTCAGGTGCTAGAGCATGCCTTACTTACAACACCTAGCTTTAGATTCTGGCGTTGAGACTCTCAATTATCAGTAAAGTAAGTAGCGATAATCAAGTGGAGGCAGCCTATCTACAGTGCGCGAAAAAAACGTTCCAGTGTTTTGCCAAATTGCACTTATAGCCAGTTTTCTCTGCAAATATCAAAGCTACTGGGGTTTGCTTAGTTTCATAAATAGCCTAAGTAGTTGGCTATCAGATGATATATTATGCACTTTATTCACGTAATTAGAAAAAGAATGGTAGCCTCATGAAAAGTGAAAAGTCGAATTTATTAAATCTTATAAAAAAGCTCAATATTTAGTTGGACCACCTTTACTCTTGATAACCGCTTTGATTCGGCGTGGCATGCTGCCTATGTATTTAAGACAGTCTTCTTTTGTGAATTTATAACATTCCTGTTCAATTCTGTCTTCTAACTCAGAAATTCTGGTGGCCCTAGTAGGGTACTTGTTCAAACGACGTTTTAGTTGATGCCAGACATGTTCAATGGGGTTTAGGTCAGGGCTTTGGGGGAGGCCAATCAAGAACATTTTGAACAGAGAATCCGTGATGCGTGAACCATTTTTTAATGGGACCAGAAGTATGTGGTCTTGCGTTATCTTGCTGGAATCTAAACGTTTTCTTGTCCAGCCCATAGTACTCGATAGTGTCTAGCAAAGATGAGTCCAGAATTTCAGCATAAACTTCTGAGTTAACAGTTCCTTCGGTAATGGTGGAACCATAGCTGGGTTCCTCCGCTGTTATCATGCCCCAGAAAACAACGCCACCACCATCTCCCTGAACTTGAGCCTCAGTTTGATGAGGCATCAACTCAGTGGGCCTGTCAGTCCAGTAGAAAGATTCGCCGTCAGATCCCCACATGTTGACCCTGGTTTCATCGGAAAATCCCCACTTACACCAATCGTCCGCAGTCAAATGTCGATGTCTCTTGGCCCACACAAGACGCTTTTTCCGGTTCTCCGCAGACACGAAATTGGTCTTTACCTTTCTTTTAGCCTTGAACCCTTTGCGCTTGAGTATATACTGTATATTCCTCAAAGTCATCTGAACTCCCATATGAGTAAGGTAGCACTGCACACCCTTGGGGCCGTCTAAATTACCATTGCGGAGATTCCTCTCAATGTAGTTCATATTTTGCGTAGTGATTTTGCTGCGTCTTCCGGGTTTGGCATGTTTTGAATGACCAAGAAACTTCTTCCTATAGCGAGAAAGTACACTGACGGACAAATTTGGGAAGATTTTTTGAATGGCACGGAGGTAACAACCTTGGTTGAAAAGAGCCTTGACAGATCCTTGAACCTCCTGAGGAATGGGACGTGTCATGTTAAAAAAAGTGATGAAGTAAAGATGGTAAAATATAATGAGGGAAAAGACCAAAATCTCAGGCTTCTTTATACTTTTTTAAGCATTCCTCGGATAACTAACATTTTAAACATAACTGATATAAAAAATTACGGCTCTCAGATTATTTTCGTGGAATGTATACAAACAATAAGGTCATCAAGCGATATTTCCAATTTTACAAAATCGAAATTTTTTACTTTACGTCAGTTGCACTTGCTTAATATCTAGTGTATCAATTATTTTAGTAGCTCATTTTGTGGCTAAAAACTCAAGCTTTCGTAGTCTTACTTTAGTTTTAAAACTGAAAAAAATTGACAGAGCTGTAAGTGTAAAACTACGAATTGGCAAAACACTGGAACGTTTTTTTCGCGCACTGTACTTCTTAGCCTCGGATAAAGTCTTGTTGAGCTTCAGGGATAGGCACATCCACACAATGTAAAAAAGTATGCTTCAAAAGAAACATAATAATAATATAAAAAACGAAAAGAATATAATACTATACGAGTATAGTAGTAGTACGTAGGCAAAAAAGAGACACTCACACAAAGCGGGTCAAAGAAAAGCATAACAAACACAACATCAAAGATGTTTAAAAAAGCTCGTTGCTGTTGCAAGAAAAATGCATACATGAGCAACGCGCATGGTAGTCATAGTAGGATGCAAAGCAACATGGCACAAATACGCAAAACTGCAAAAGCAACAGTGGTATTATAAGTTTGCGATACAACATGATGACTAATGCTGTTTCATGTAAAGCTACTACAGAGGAAACACTACTGTTAAGCACAAAGAATAAAAGGATTATTATTTGTAGCTTATAAAAAATGTTCGATATTATAAAAACAAGAAAAGACTTATTTGAATAAGATTAGACACAAAAACTAAAGACTTATTGATGAAGACAAGAGTTACTCTATTTATGCCAAGTTCTGAATGCCAAAGTAGCAATTTATCTTGTACAACGCTTATCACATCTGATGAACCTCAATATTTAGATAGCTGATGTTAAGCACAAAGAATAAAAGGATTATTATTTGTAGCTTATAAAAAATGTTCGATATTATAAAAACAAGAAAAGACTTATTTGAATAAGATCAGACACAAAAACTAATGATTTATTGATGAAGACAAGAGTTATTCTATTTATACTAAGTTCTGAATGCCAAAGTAGCAATTTATCTTGTACAACGCTTATCACATCTGGTGAACCTCAGTATTTAGATAGCTGAGATGCACTTCACTTATCATAGCTTGTCCATGTTGTTGCACAACACAGACATATCTACCCATCAAGAATACCTTAATCTTTATAGACAGTTGTAGCCCTTCTGGCACAACAGCTGAGTCGCACTTCAATTGTCATAGCTTGTCCATGTTGTTGCACAACACAGACATATCTACCCATCAAGAATACCTTAATCTTTATAGACAGTTGTAGCCCTTCTGGCACAACAGTTACCAAAAATCAATATATTCCTAGTGGCTGCTGTTTACACCATGTCAACGTAGTAATCATTGACTAGTAATCCATCATATTTAAGCTACTATTAAGATAATCCTCTGTAATGAAGAAGCTCTTTGTTTTAGATACAGTTAACAACTGATTATTTTTGTCGACTTCTTTATTGTGAAGTCATCGATGTCCAACATTGACGCTAAACTTTGAATCTGATGTTACAACTAGATTTGGTATCTCCGTTTTGGACGACCACCGAAAGTGTCCTGCTAACC